AGATAAACCGTAAACCCATACATATATATATATATATGTATGGGTTTACGGTGGGCGTTAGTGTAAAGAAGATGGCACATGTGAGGGTAGTCCCCACGAAAGTTGTCGCCAACCTCCCACACCACATGTGACATTTTAACATCTCGGTGACCGAGAAGGATGCCGAACAGTTTTAATAATGGCAACGTCACTTTCCTCTTTTACTTTCCCAAAATCCCAAATCTATTATTTCCATTTCAATCAATATATATATATATTATAAATGTATTTTTTGATATATTATTAAAACTTTTTAGGAAAGTAACAGGGTTATCTTACGTCACGTGAATAAATAAAAAAATATTAATGGTAATTTAACAATTACTAACAATATCAAATTTCAAATAATTCATTACGTTCTACAGTTCACTTATTTTATGCATGTGTACCAATAGTCTAACTAGTGATATCGGACCACATTAAAATTTTTATTTTTATTTTACTCTAATTCATTTAATATGATCAGATCCGAATTATAAATTTCTTAGAGAATTTGGTTCATTAAATATTATAATCTAAATCTCTTAATATATTTTCACTACATTTTTAGTAGATTTTGGTATAAACCTTTACGTGTAATTAGGATTGGATTGGATTTTTTTCTTAATTATCAATGTTTGATGCGTTACAAAAAGCCAATAAAATACAGTAAGTGAGATTCCATGAGAGATTATTATATATATATATATATAAATATAATAGAGTTGTCTGTTTATTGATTTTATTTATAAAGTTTTTTTTATATAAATAATATTTCAATACTATATAATTATATTTTTGTCACCGTATGAAATAAAAAATTGACTGAATTATAGATGGGTCAATTAGATGAGTCTGATGTGACAAAAGTTAATAAATATATAATTATAATATATAGTTACGTTGCTCTCAAATGCCTACATATTGATTATGAAAATAGTGATATTTTTTTAATACTGAAAACTAAATATTCCAACCTAACATAATTGCTAATTGAGAAGCAATTCAATGAAAGTCGACAGACATTATTGATGTTTCAAGGTAATTAAAAAGTTAAAAAGGTAATTAAAAGCTAAAAATGTTAAAAGGGTAATTAATCATAGATGCATCCATTTTAAAAAGCATATAGATATTATTAATTATTTTAATGAGATTATAATTATTAATTCTAATTTTATAAAGTTCAAATAATATTTAAGCATTTTTATTTGATTATTTTACTATTATTCTTTTACCTGTTAACTAGAGCTCTTTATGTTAGAAACAAATAATTTTTTTTTATAAAATTGATTTACAAATTTCCATCTAATTTAGCCAAAAAATTGTTAAAAAAATAAAAATTAACTTACATAGAATTCTAGATAAAAATTAAATAATAAATTTTTATTAATTTTAATACAAGTTAAGTCTATTATTTAATTTCACATAAAGTTTTTACTAATTTTAATAAAATATATTACACATTTGTAAAAGCCCGAAACTAAAAAAAATGATTTATTATCTAAATTCGAAAGCAAATAATAAAATTAAGACTTACATTCCTTACACAGTAAATTAAAATGTCCAATAAAGTTACGAGAATGTTTTTACTATAACGGCTCGTAAAAAGAAACAAATAAATGACTTAAAACAAATAGATAATTATCATATGGGTTAACCTCCACTAGCTCTTGAAAGGGTCTGGAAGATAAACTAATGAAAACCTTCTTGCTGATCGGGATACGGATCTATGTCTTCTTCAACTAAAATGATTAATAGAAGAGTGAGCTACATTAGCCCAGTAAGAATATCACACTAATCACTGATACGAAAAATAAAAGTTGGTAAAAATCATTAAAAAAAGAAAAAATGAAATCGTTGATCTAAGTAAATATATTTAACTCTAAAGCGTTTTATTCCATACTTACTATTACGATTTTTTCATAAATCAACCTTTGAAAACGAGTGACCAAATGATACCCATATAACATTTATAATTTCATGTACAAGTGAGTAAAATCAGTCATTCTCTATTTTTACTTGCTTACTAAGAATCTTGGGGGTTTATAGGGATGTCTCTCTACTAGCGAACCTAAAATCTAGATTTGTCAATTTACCCAGCCGTCCCCTACACCGTCTGATAGTGGGTGCCAAACACTATCATCTCAATATCCCGTCAGATATGAGGTGAACCATATCTCCTGAACTCTTTTAGTATGGGACTTCTCAGTCCCGTTTGACTGAGGTAATGTCCGTAGTAGAGTTCCCTATGTATCGGGTCCGTCCACCCTTTCCCAGGATACCTAGTAAGCTTCTATATATATAGATTCTCATTGTCCAAACAACCACCAATTGCGTACCAATATCTCGTTATATATTCACAGATTAATTTAAACGACATCTAAACAAGTGATACAGTTTAAACATAACCAAATAATCAGTAACTAGATAATCAAATAAACAGTGCAAGAGAACCAAATAAATCAAGTAATCGAGAACACATTTTAAACTAGAAATTTATTGCACACATGAAATAGTAAACATCTTAACAACACAGGAGAAATAAACAGTAAACTAGGGCAATCATACACTGATCATTTTGGCTCCATTAGTGACCTGTAATTATTGTTAGAATTTTTCTAATTTTCACAAAACACAGGATTATTGATTACTAAGCCTCAATTTACCATAACAGAGAATAGAGTGAGGGATCCTTATATGGATCGGTATTTGAAATGTCGTACTATCTACTATGTCTCCTAACAGGTCCTAGATTTCTTAAATTTTTTATGCAGAAATTAAAATACTCGTCACGTACCTAAAAATACCCAAAAAAATCCAAAATCGGTGTTGAAAACTTTTTCCGGCCAATTTTAGGGCTTCACACGACGGCGCTGCTGTGCTCCGGCGCCAGCTCCGCTGCCCACAGCGATGTTTGCCTCGACTCGGCATGTTTTGACAAGTTTTTGTGGGTTTTACACGTACCCCTGTGAAAAAACACGTTAGAAAGGCTCGGTTGGCTAGAAAAATAAAAGAAAAACGAACCTATCGGCTGGGTGGGTCTCTGGGCACGACGTCTTTGCTGGTTCTCCTTCGCAGTTGGGGTTTCTCCTTCGGCTAACCTACTAGAAAGGGATGATGAATACAATGGTAAAAAAATTGTGTGAAACAAAAAACGGGAAGGGGCTCATCGGAGGAGTTTTAGGGTTTTGGTCGCGGTGCCTCTGTCAGGTTTTGCCTGCACTTTTCGGCTCACCCACCCTTCATTTTTCTCCGATATGGCCACAGGGAGACTCAGAATCGAATTCCAAGTGGAAAGGAGAAAATTTTAACTTTTTTGGAGGTCGGCAGTGGGTCCGGTGCGGCGGCAGCTAGAGGTCAGTCTTCTTCTCCGACATCTGTTCTTCTTCTCCAGGCAGGGGCTGGCGGATAAGGTTTGGGTTCCCTTGCGAATAAGAGTTTAAATACCTTCTTCTCTTCGATCTGAACCGTCTGTTTGTGTCCACGTGGAGCAAGGAGAGTCGTCTGATTGTTGTTTGTTTAAGCCGATTGCGTGGACGAATTTGGACTGTTCATCACAATTGATCTTATCTGTCTGATTGCATCTAAAGAGAGAATGCATCTAAGCCGTTTGTGCGCACGGGACGTGATTGAGATCGTCGGATCGCCAAGCACGCAAATCGCCCATGTGGCCTCCCGTGGGTGCCGATGTCAGCGTGTTTTGCCACGCAGCGTGCTCTGGTTCACCGTGCCTGCTAACTGGGCCGTCCTACATGGCTAAATTTTTTATTTTTGCATTTTAACTTCATGTTTCTAATTTTTTTTTTAAAAATACAACGTATTCAAAATTTTATACATTTTTTCCAAAATTTCTTCAATTTCGTCCCTAATTCATATTTTTCAAAATTTTTGATAAAATTAAATTAAAATAAATAAAATTACTTTAAAAATATTCTTTTAAAATAAAAAAAATCATCCTGGGCCGATTTTCGAACTCGGGGATTACAATATTATTCTAATCAACATCAAAATTAGAAAATACATTTTTTAGTATAAAAAGTTAAGTTGAATTTTTCTTGTTTGATTATCCTAAGTAAAAGAACTTAATAATATTTAACATATTTTTGACATAAAAATATAATAAATTAACTGAAACTGAATTTAACTTAGTCATCACAGTTCACTAATATATATATATTTGACTTAAAACATATAAATTCTCTCATATGATATATTGAATTAATTACAACAACTAAACAAATATATTAATAAATTAAATTATAAGTCGTATTGAATCACGCATTATAAGCGTGATTTTATTAACTTATAATGTACTTACAAAATAACAAATTTAATATTATCATTATAATTTAAATTTATGATTTTTAAGTGAAATATACTAATTTTAATGATTAAATCATTATATTATTAGTAAATGAAAGCATAAGATAAAAGTGTTTTTGAAATTTAATTTTGTGATGGAAGAGAAAATAGAGGTGAATAAAATGGAGTGAAAATGACAAGCACTGTAGTTCATCTTTCTGTTTGGAAGTGACTAATACAAAAGTTGCTTTTTCACTTATACGACTTTTTGGCGATTTTTCTTTTTCAATTTTAATTGTAAATGAAAGTCCAAAATCATACATCTTCAATCTTTTGTTTACTTTTTCGTCTCTTTAAGGATTTAATGCAATCATGAGTCTTGACGTATCAGATTAATCTTCATCCATTCTCGATTGATTCTGATCGTCCGATCAAATCTTCTTCTTCTTCTTTTTCATTTTTTCGTATATTATATAAATTAAATGAAATGGTTAATAAAAAAAATTAAACTTTACCAAAATATTGGGTTGTGGTACTTAGAATTTGGGCTTGCATTGTTCGAGATTCTCAGCCTCATAACACATGAATTTTTATATTGGATGGAGCATGAAAGTATTACTACCAATTTTATTTGTTTAATTTTTAACTGATTTCAAATTTCTCAATCTGGTCTACTCCGATTCCTCGACCATGATGAATGCCTAAGAAATTACGAGCATGGTGTGGTCTGGCCCAAATCCATTTTCTCCTTTTTCCATTTTTGTTTTTAAATTTGGCCCAATAGAAGTGTTGAACATGCTTCAGTCTTTCCCCCCTTCAAATTTTAACGTGAACACGTTAAATATGCAGAAGACAACATGATTTGATTGGTGGATTTTGAACGATGAAACACGTCCATGGAGCATCTTTTTGAGGACGAGATTTCCATTTCATCAGCAAGACGTGTCTATTCCCGATATATGGTGTTATTCTTAGATGATTGCAGAAACTTTGGGCTCATGTTTACGCCAATGCTCCAAATTAAAGGCATTGCAGTATGGTTTATCTCTTCACGCTGCAACTTTCAAGATAGGCGTGCAATCAGATATCGTTGTCTCCAACCATGTGCTCAACATGTACGCCAAATGTGGCAGAATCACTTTTGCTCGTAAAGTGTTCGACGAAATGTCTGAGAGAAATCTCGTCTCATGGTCTGCTATGATTTCTGGGTATGATCAAGCTGGGGAGCCTTCTTTGGCACTCGACCTTTTTTCCCGGATGCAGCTTGTGCCGAATGAATACTTATATGCTAGTGCCATTAGTGCCTGCGGGAGCCTTACAGCACGGCTGCAAGGACAACAGATTCATGCTCAGTCCTGGAAGTTTGGGTATGAATCTATCTCATTTGTTTCTAATTCACTCATTTCAATGTACATGAAATGTAATTGTTACAATGATGCCTTGTTGGTCTATGGTGAGATGGTAGAACCAAATTCTGTTTCTTATAATGCTTTAATTGCTGGGTTTGTGGAAGGCCAGCAGGTGAGAAAGGATTTGAAGTGTTCAGAGTTATGACCCGGCAAGGACTCGTCCCGGATCGATTTACTTTTGTGGGTCTGTTGGGGCTTTGTATAGATACTGATGATCTGCAAAAGGGTATTGGATTGCATTGCCAGACAATCAAACTGAAGCTTGATTCCACCCCTTTTGTTGGCAATGTGATAATGTTGATGTATTTGAAGTCGAATTCAGTAGAGGAAGCAGAGAAAATCTTTAGATTGATCAAAGAGAAAGATGTTATCTCATGGAACACTTTTATTGCTGCTTGTTCTCACTGTGAAGACATGAAAGGGGTTTGAAAGCTTTTGGGGAGATGTTGAAGGACTCCAGTTTGAAGCCCGATGAGTATACTTTTACTAGTTCTCTTGCTGCCTGTGCTGGGTTTGCTTCCATTCGTCATGGCAGGCAGATTCATACACATATAATTAGAAAAATGCTGAATCAAGATGTGGGAGTTAATAATGCTCTTGTTAACATGTATGCTAAATGTGGTTCAATAGGATATGCATACAATGTGTTTAACAAGATGGTCCATCGTAATCTTGTCTCATGGAATACTATCATTGTTGGATTTGGCAATCATGGGCTTGGAGGAAAAGCAGTTGAGCTTTTTGAGGAAATGAAGGCGAGAGGATTGTTACCAGATTCTATTACATTTATAGGAGTTCTAACCGCTTGCAACCATGCTGGACTTGCGGAGAAGGGACTTAATTTGTTCAATTCCATGGAAGAGACCTACAGCATTGCCCCTGATATAGAACATTTCTCTTGTCTTATTGATCTGTTAGGACGAGCTGGAAGGTTACGGGAAGCAGAAGCGTACATGAGCAAATATCCATTTGGGCAAGATCCAGTTGTTTTAGGGAGCTTGCTTTCAGCATGTAGGCTGCAAGGAGATATTGCCATTGGGCAACGGTTAGCTAAGCAACTTCTGAAACTTCAACCTGCTACTACCTCTCCATTTGTTTTACTATCAAGTCTTTATGCTTCAGATGAGATGTGGGATAGTGCTGCAGAGGCAAGGAAGATGCTGAAGGGAAGTGGATTGAAGAAAGAGGCTGGACATAGCCTGATTGAAGTGAAGGGAAGGTTTGAAAAATTTACTATAGGGGATTTTTCTCATTCAAGAATTGAAGAAATAAAAGAGATGCTCAAAATTTTAAGCTGGGCTGTGGGTGAATTTTCCTTGGAGCCTATAACATGATTCATCCAATAGTCACGTTTCTTCCTTGTTTTATTCATTGCAAGGAGATAAAATGAGCCGTGAGAAATGCAAAAAAGGCATTCTTCCTTATGCATTCACGAGATATATGCATAAGAGGTGCGGCCCTAAATGAAATTATGGTGGATGATTGGAGGAGATATCATTTGAAAAGGCCCTTCTGGTTGCTAGATGGGCAGATTTAACTATACAAAAGTTTTGCTGTTTTGGGAGCTAAGGCCCTTAGTAAGTACGTACACAATTACAGAAAATTGGCATTCTACAGTTACAGAAAGTAACGAAATTATTTGGATTACATGCAGGCCTTTCTTTGGCAAGAGACTCAGAAAGGCAATTTTAAAGAACCATGGTTAATTTGCACTCACTTGGCTTTTTAAAAGATCACGAAGAGTCTTATCTACTGAAAACTTCGTCATGATATGCATGAAGGTAACACTTAATACGAAGATTTTGTTTATACATAGAGAGATCATATAGATTATAAATATAAATCATATGATTCTTTTTAATAATACTTCAGTATTTATAGATTGTTCCTCAATTATTTTACCCAGAGGTTTATAATTTACTTTATCTACTTTGAGTATATGATAGAAAATTGATATATTATGATATGGGTAGCTTTGGTTGCTTGAGAATAGACTAATTACTATGCATATGAATAATTTAATATAAGTATTATATGATCATGACAGAGAAGACAAAATTATTACATGTTTATAGAATTAGATGTATATATTTGCCACTAATTCTGCCTACCATAATAATTGGTTTTTCCATTGAGGAAAAGAAAGTGAAATCGACATCAACATCTCATCTTTTTACTTTTTCTTTTCTCTCTGTCTTCCATCAACTAGGGATTACATACACTGTAGATATCCAGGGCATGTGTCGTATCACTGTTTAACAGTGAAACTGTAGGATGAAATAGAAGTAATGGGTGTGTATATACATACATATATATTTAGTGTAAGACACGAAAAATGAAGGGAAAGGAACCGACGCAATCAAGTGGGGTGGGGAAGAGAAGATTTTGATACAAAATTTCTTTGTAAATAATTAAACCAACAAGAATCAACCACAAAATAATACAAACTTATTTTGTGGGATTTCCATTTTCCAAGGTAAATGACGAAGTCAAAATGATTATTCTCTACAAAGGTCCCACCTCCCAAACAATCCCTTTTTCTTTGTTTTAATTTAATAATTTTTCATTTCCCTTATTACTTTATTATATATATATATATATAACAATTATTTATGAGAATATTTTTCAAAATGATAAATTTCAGCCATCAAAATTTTACTTATTTTAAAGTTTATACGTACTCTTTTTTTTTAAAAAAAAAAAAAAAATTCTTGGAGAATTTTAACTAATTTGTACTTCAGCAAGCATGTTTGGTCTTGAATCAATTGTCGGAATTTATCTATCAAAATTTGGTTTTTTCATTTTCCTTTTTTAGACATGTACTTTTGGTTACTCCAATTTTTTGGTGTTGAAACTCGAATCAATTTTCGTATCAGGAATTTGATTTTTCTAATCTCAAACAAATAATAATAATAATAATAAGGTAGAGGAGGATTTATTAATCAATACTATTTTTTAATTTATATGTTTTAATATTATATATACTTAAATGCATCTCTGATCATTTCAGACATGTATATATATATATATATATATATCAAACATGATGATAAGTGCTTAGTTTATTTAATATATCTTGTATCTTAATTAATCAAATGAGAGTGCACTAAGACGCCAAACCGACTTGGATAAAAACTAATGTAAAAGTAGATTCGATAACATCTTTTAACTATACTAGAATTTTAAATTAAAATTTGTAAATTTTTATATTTCTATCCCAAAATTTTAGACAAGACTTTGAAAAAAAAAAAATACATATGTCACTACTAGATCAAAAATCTATTACTAATTTATTTTATTTTTTCTTAAATTGGTACTTCATAAAACATATAAAATTTATTATTTTATATGTACATTTGATTTGGTAAAATTAAAAATTTAATTTCTAATGTATTAATTTGACTACAATAATAACAGAATTAATCTAACTTACTTATAAAATAAGAAAACATTTCAAATGATTTTTAACATATATATTTTCGTCAGTCCAATGCCCAAAATTGTAATAATAATTTACTCAAAATTTTACCCGCTTTTTAACATAATCATTCTGATTAAATTTAACATACACTTATTAAACATTAAATGAAACAATTATACAATCATTGGTTAGTGGTTTTAACAAATTGGCCACGGTCAACTTTGACTCCTCCCAGTGGCTGTACATATTGCTTAATTAATTACATCCACGAGTGTGGTGACGATAATTCTTAATATTAATTAATGAATTAATTAAAACTGATTAGTTAGATAATAGTTTTCTTTTTCTTAAAAAATAAAAATAAAAAAAAATCAATTTTATTGTATGTGATTAGTTAGATAATAGTAGAAGACGGTCCTTTTCATTTGTTTAAGTTTGCTGTCACCAACCTGCCAATTACCAAACACCCCACCAATATATATATATGTATATATTAATCACCATTAATTATGTCAAAATAAAAAAAAAACCAACATTATTTTTTAAAATATATAAATTTTTATCTATGTATATATATATATATTTTATTATATCATAATATATATGTTAATTTTGGTGCAAGTAAGAGTTAAAACTTGACTTTTATTTTAAACTAATAATTGCAAAGTACAAAACTTAGCGGTTAAATTTATTTTTAATATGTTAAATTATATATATGTGGAGTCCCCACAAACTTATAGTTGTATGTATATGTACACACACATATATGGACATGTATGTACTACTGTGTAAATTCATTGTAAAGTTAAATTAGGGTTGTGAAAAATAAACCTAATGATGTATAAGTCAATATAAATTATCTTATAATCTTTTCATTAATTAGATGCAGTCAATAATCATAACCTATAAATACACAAATAGTAATAATTAAGGTCGTAAATAATTAAATTTTTTTTTCAATGGATTTTATAATTATATTTTCAAGGTAATTATGAAATCATAATTTGTATCTCTTATTACTTAATTTGATTATATTAAATTAAAACCTAAATTCATTACTAATCCTGTCGCTGGAATCACAGTTTTTTGCCTTTTAACATAAACCCAATTAATCATTGTTTTTTTTAGTGCATTACAAATAAAGTTAATCATAATTGATAATTAAAAGCATGTATAATCATTTGGTCAAAGTCAAACAAAAGCAACACTATGGATTAAATTGATATAGTTTTTCTATATATATTAATTTTTTAAATAAAAAATATGACATTCTAAAATCTCCATATATACATAAATTAAATTAGTTCTATTAGTAATTAAAATATTTTTATTTACTAATTTACATAATATATTTTGTCTACAGCTTCAGTTTAAACTTTTCTTATATTTCCATGTAAATAAATTTTTTTATTTTTTTATTTTTAATTAGAATAATTATTTACATTATTTTTTAGTAATTTTATTCATGTCATTACCACCTAACGTGTGTATATATATATTTAATCGTCATTTTTATTGGGTGGTAAAGATTTACAGGATATTCATCATACAAAAACTTAATTTCCTTTTAAAAGAATATAAATTTAGTAATGGCTATGCTCAAATTCGAAAACCTCTATCTAATTTATCCAAACAAGAGTATATATAAGTAAAATTCTGCAAATATATGTTAATATAATATAATATAATATATATATATATATGTGTGTGTGTGTGTATACATCGACAAAATTCATGAAACTTTACATTCACTGGGGGTCATAGAAAAGATATGATTGGCCACAGATGGAGAGACGTAATGATCTGAACAATTTTTTCTGTCACGGGAAGTCTTTTAATTTGGAATTGTCTGGAATGGGAGACATCATCAGCTGCGTGCACTTATCTGGATATGGGACCTTCAATTTTGGCAGCTATTTACCAACCAATCCAATCCATTTTTAAACATTAAAAAATATATATATATATATATATCTAATGTGTATGTACATACATATAGATAATATTTTTTTATTAAAAAAATTATATAGATATTAACCTATTTCACAATTTTAAACTAAAAAAAATTTAATTATCACAAAATATTTTTTTTACTATAATGCTAATAACTCATCATAAAGAAATCCAATTTGATCTTCACAACCTAACCAATATAGTAATGACTAAATTTATTAAATTTATATTTAGTAGTATTTACAAAAAATTTTAATAAGTAGATTGTCAAGGTCCGGTGAAGATTATGAAAATTTGTTATAAGAAATTTCATGGAGAGTAGAAGGGTTATTAGCTCACCATCGAGGCTTTGCAACTAATGGTAGAGGACGGGTTTTGTGAAGAGGTATTGCTAATTCGTCTAGGCATGATTTATGTTTTATCTAAAGGGAAGCGATAACATGATCTAATTATAGAAGACCTTATGGGAGGAGTTGTGACAAAGGTGTAATAAGTGGCGGGCGAAAAATGCATATAGACATGAAAGGAAGAGGCAGATCTTATTGATTATTTAACTGGGCTTTTTTATGTGTTGGGCTGGGAGATTATTGGGTCGTTGGACATATAGGGCTTATCGGATGAGAGTTAGATGAGCATGCAAAGATTCTTTCAAGATAATGAGATAAAACCGAGATGGCAACAATGAGACTAGGGGGTCTATAATGTTGGTGGTGTAAGAGAGAAGGATGGTGGTAGGTGTGACAGTAGAAGCTAAGCTAATAGAAGTAGAAAGTATGAACATATCATTTGCAAAGGTAAATGGCTTACAAGAATGAATCAGGGCAAAGCGAGAGGTTACTATAAGGGTGGAAAGAGACAATGGCTAGGACTTAGCTATTAGAGAGTGGAATAGATATTTGTTGATAATAATAGATGTTGTGATACATCAGCAGTTAAGTCATAACAAGATATAATATACAGAAAGGGGTAAGATATGCATGGGGAGTAGTGATCACATAAAATAGATCATGTACTATGATATAAGGGGATGTTACGAAGACCTGTCGAGAGTACCCCCCCTCAACCCAAGTTTGGTTGGGACATGAGGAACTAGTATTTAATTTATTCTAATGCCTAAAAGATTTAGAAAATTGTCAATCGAGAAGATAACTATACTTATTCTAGAGATGGAATATTTAACACCCAAATTTTTATTTTTATTATTATTGGAATTATTTTGATTTTATTTTATTTTAATAATTAATTTATTAGGTAATAATTATATGGTTTTAATTTAATTTAATAGAAATAAAAATAATAATAAAAATAAAAAAGGTATGTGAATTTATAAATGGATAAGTCGATAGCCTCACTAGATATTCTGGGAGATGGTGGACGGATCGGGTCCATAGCGAACGTGGTCTCTCATATCAGACAGGGTATTGAGACTTTAAATGTTTTGGCGCTCATACCAGACGGGGTATGGGGACGGCCCGCTTCACTCTCATACCGGACGGGGTATTGAGGTTTATGGTTTTGGCGCTCATACC